CCCCCCCGCTCTCCCAGGCCACCACCGTGTGTACTTGGCCTGGTTTCCCCTCGGCCCTGCTCTGGCCTCTTCCCTGTCGCGTCTGAGGCTGAGGACCAGAGGTCTGGATGTTTGTCCGCTTAAGGGAAATGAGGGGAGCAGAGGACAGTGACAGGGGCGGGGGCCCGAGCGGCCCAGGATCAGGTGCGACGGGCAGGGGACCGCACAGAGGCCAAGGAGGGGCCGCCAGGGCTTCTCCCCTTGCTCCGGGACTGGATGCACATGTGCTCTGTGCCCCACTGGTCCTGAATATGCCGCTCAAAAGACTCCTGTGAAAATAAGTTTCTGAAAATAGGACATTGTGCCCCTTTCTTAGAGATTCAGGGTGCACGTCAGTGTGGTAAAGAGGCAGGAGAATCCCACAGCAGTGAGATCTGTTGAACTTGCTTTAAGCCAGTTCCCCAAACTATTGAACAATAGGTTTTGGTTTGCCGGTTGGGTTTTCGTGGAATATCTACTAGCGTCTGTCTCACAGACCAGCCCTCGTCTCTCCCAGGGGCCTCCTTCTGCACCACCTGGTGACATCACAAGAGGCCACCAGTCCTGAAAGCCCGGTCCTGGGAGGTGGACCCTGTCAACCAGATGTAACCTTCTTGTCTCTGTTGTCCTGCCCTGAAAAGAGTGGGGAGCGGGCTGCTGCCCTGTGTTCCAGCCTCAGACCCCGGCACGGGGCTGGTGGAAGGGCTCCCAGCCACCAGAGAAGCTTCCGCCCTCATACGACGGAGGGTCCGTGGCTGCCAGCTGCCTTCCTGTGGTTCCTGTGGTTCGCCGTCTGCCATCTTCTGCCCCGAGCCTGGCCCTCCCCCTGTGCCCCCAGGCCCTGCCCTCTAGGGGGCACAGGGAGCCCCTGGCCAGCGCCTGGGGGGATGTTTGTGTTGCGTGTTGGGTTGCAGGAAGCGTCACCCAGGCCTGGGATTCCTAGGCGCCCCAGATTGGCTGGGACCTTCTGCCTTTCCCGCCGTGGCCTCCCTCCCTTACTTTTTACCAGGGCACCCCCTCCCTGCCCCCAAATACAGGATGAGGCGTGAGAGCCAGGGCTCGGAAGAGGGTAAGGCCTGTCCAGGGCACCCCGACGTCTGCCACGTCGGGATGGGAGTCGGAATCCGGGACCCAGCAGGACCCAGCGCCAC